AAACCTTTGATCATTGTATCCCGTGATTTTTTCGCATGAGATCATTGTATTTTGCAACATGGCAAAGAGAATAAAAAGCAAGTGCTGGGTTTCAGTCATCATCACCTTGGCACCAGAGTGTTGGTGGTCCCCTGACTTCCCCGCTGTCTTAAATACTATTTCTGTTTCTGTGTCTTTGTTTCATTCATCTCTTGCAACACAGTCTGCCAAGGGACCCTGTCTTTATTGGGGACGTTGTGAATCCCTGATAGTTACTATCTGTCTTATAGGGTTTAAAAGCATATAGAATGAAAATCTATGTAAAGATCAAAAGATATAATAAAATTGTAGAGTATATGATATTATAAATTCACTGAATTTGATAAATATTCAGTGTGTCTTTTGGCAATCTTTAGCACTCTTCACATGAAGATGATAAAAGAAATGCATATCTTTGCATTTTTCAAAAAGAATAAATAAAAGAAAAAAGGACTCAGAGACAACTTATTCTCCTAAGGAAATTAATTAAGAACAACAAATGTTAGAAAAGAGTGGAAGCTGTGGTTCTGGAGATTTTTTAGTGCAATTCTTTCTGTCACACAGGGTTAACACCACATATTCTGTTCTTTCTTGTCTTGTAAATTCATCTAAATAGGAACCGGAGTTCCTAAGGAATTGTAAGTTAGAGAAGCAAGAGAGTAGTGTGAAGGTTATCAAGGTAGAAAGGTGTTGCAGGAGAGAAGGAGGAATGAAGAAGAGGCAGTATTAGAGAACTGTTGATACATTGAGTCAGGCTTACCTAGTGTGCTAGAGAGAAAGAGAGAATTTTTCCACACTTACGAAAGAAAGAAGAGAATGTAGAAGAAGAAGAAAAGCAGGAAAAAGAAAGAGTAAAAGAGAGGATAAGGAAGGAATAGAAGGAGAAATTTGTTCAAAAATATTGACATAGGAAATGTTATTTCTCAGAAAAATTAAAAGCATAATCCAGGACAGTCTAGTGATAGGTACTTGGATTTCACTTTGAACATCATTATTTTTTAGACTAGAATCATACTAGCTCTTCTCAACATC